TTATTTTCAGGTAATGCTATTAGTCTATTTTTAATTATTTTATAATTTAAATTATATTATATGGTAAAATATAAATTATTAAATAAAAGAAGAGGATTTTTTTTATTTAAAAATTTTATTTTATATTTTAAATTATAAAATAACACATATTTTTTTAAAAAGCATATAATTTAGCAAAATTTGCTTGAAAACGGGCAAATCTTCCATCATTTTACCACTTGTAATAGGATTTGTTTATTCTCACAAATTGTAAATGCTAATATTGGAGATTTGCAGATCAAGGAAGCTTAAAATAACATGTTAATCTATTATTTGGCAAAATTTACCAAAAAAACGTGTCCTCCTCTGGCCAAAGGTTGAGACTTTAGACCGAGTCAAAGATAAAGCTTGTGGGTCCTACCCCGAAAGTGTTTCTTTCCTTATTGCTCTTTCGGGTCTTCTCCTCCCTTCAGTTCTTTTGTCGTTTATTTCTTATTGAAGCTTTCGGTTTCCTTCATCCCTGTTTGCCACTTTATCCCTTCCAGTTTTGTTGCCACACACGTTAAACCACTCCGGCGGAAGTTAGGCAGGATATTCTCACAAGAAACCAGCGACCTTTCGTTTTCAGAAATTCGACATGCTCGCCGACTGTGGGTCTTCCTGTCCCTACGATAATGAATCGTCTACGTCTCCTTACACAAAGTCCCCATGGACCCATCATGCCCACAGCAATTCTGCTCCCGAGAAGGAGAACCACATTCCTTATAACGTGCTTATGGGTTCGCTACTACGTGAAGAGGGCCACATATATTCCCTGGCGGCTGACGGTGACTTGTTATACACGGGTTCCGACAGCAAGAACATCCGGGTCTGGAAGAATCAGAAGGAATTTTCAGGATTTAAATCCAACAGTGGATTGGTTAAAGCAATAGTCATCGCCGGAGAGAAGATTTTTTCGGGTCATCAGGACGGGAAGATCAGGGTGTGGAAGGTTTCCGGTAAGAACGAGAGTGCGCACAAGCGAGTCGGAACGCTACCCTGTTTGAGAGATCTTCTCAAAAGCTCCATTAAACCGAGCAATTACATAGAAGTCCGGCGACGTCGCGTGCTCTGGCTCAAGCATTTTGACGCCATTTCGAGCCTTAGCTTGAACGAAGACAAAACTCTGCTTTACTCTGCTTCCTGGGACAAGACGTTCAAAGTGTGGAGAGCGTCAGGTTCGAAATGCTTGGAATCCATTAAAGCTCACGATGACGCCATAAACGGCATCGTCGCCGGATTTGATGGTTTGGTATTCACAGGCTCTGCTGATGGAACCGTCAAGGTCTGGCGGAGAGAATTCCAGGGGAAGGGAACCAAACATTTCTTCTCCCAGACTCTGTTGAAGCAAGAATGCGCGGTGACAGCATTGGCGGTGAACCCTAACGCCACCTTCGTTTACTGCGGTTCCTCCGACGGGCTGATTAATTTCTGGGAACGGGAAAAACATCTGTCACACGGCGGGGTTTTGAGAGGCCATAAATTGGCGATTCTGTGCCTGGCAACTGCGGGGAATCTTGTTTTCAGTGGATCGGCAGATACGGGTATCTGCGTGTGGAAAAGATTGGGAAGCGAACATTCTTGTCTCTCGGTATTAACAGGGCATACAGGGCCCGTTAAATGTTTGGCGGTGGAGGAAGATAAGGACGCGATCGCTGGTGAAAACCGGTGGATTCTGTACAGTGGCAGCCTGGACAAGTCGGTGAAGATGTGGCGGGTGTCGGAGCAGGCACCGCCAATGATGCAAAACCAATACCAGCATTATAATACTACGGAAAGCCACCGTGGACGGCCCTCATTGCATTCAGCTCCTAGCTTTTCTTCTCTGAGCAAAGTACTTAGCCAGAGATCGAAGTAATGAAGGGAAATACTGCTGCATGCATGCGATGTTGCACTAAAGCTGATCTATGATTTGAGATTTGAGAAATGTACATATGAATAACAAAGATTAATTACTGCCTTGGAGTGAGGAGAATTCGTGATGAGAAAGCTCACATGGCAAAAGGACCATAAAAATTCGGAACTCTTTGGAATTTTGTCTTATGTTTTCTTTTCTGTCGTGTGCAAGGGACATCTTAATCTTAAAAAATAATAATAATAATAAAAGCAGGAACATCTTAATTTGACTTGGTGTATGTTCTTCTTTATTTTTTTGCTGGAACTTGCCTTTGGATGATGGGTAAGGGTTAAAATGAAAACAAACAAATGGAATGAAAATGGCGAAATATATAGGATGGATGTGTCTGATATTAACAACTTGTTTAATTTAAAGAATAAGGACGGAAGAGGTTATCTCAACTCGAGAATAATGTATTGTTTTAAATTACTACAATGGTAAAACAAAAATCATTAATGAGATATAATTTTAAATATTAAAAATTTATTTTTATTTAATAATTTAAATTATGTAATTTGATACAATCTATATTACGTTTTAACTTTTTAAATCAATATTATACTTGAAAATTTTCTCTTACATGAGCTACTTATTTCAACCACACAAAAACCTCACATTTCAGACAACAAACACTACAGTGTTCATGCCACATGGTTGATGATGCCTTGATGGTTCAACCCATCTGGGCATCTATTCTTCTACAGTATGTAAAAAGACAAAAGTTTTTCTCCAACCTAAACCCCGCATGCCGTTTGCTTCAACAGACAAAACCCGTAACATTTTTAAAAGAGAATTCTATTTCTACCTCATACTGTTTATTAAAAGTGTGATTTAAGTAATAAAATAATCAAAAATATCTTCAATAAATTATTATGATAAAGAATCTCATTAAAATTCTATAATAAATTTATAATACGGATTATGTTTTTTTGTGCAGCACATATAAAAAAAAGCACACTTTTAAAAAAAAATTTTGTTTAAATTAAAAAATGTAGATTCCTACTCTAAGCTAAGCTGCTGTGCTTTGCTGGGTTTTTTTTGCTGTCATTTTCCCTCCCCCTCCGTCCAGACAACCCCAACACTTTCCCAAACATACATTTTCTTTTCCTCCATTTTCCTCATTCCCAAACACCCTTTACTTCCCTCTATTCTCTTTCAATTCCTCCCTGCTGCTATTTCCAAATCCCATAATTAATCTTCCCTTTCATCCAAACTCCCAGTTCCCATTTCCCCACACTTTCAAGCCAACTCTTGTTTCTTAATCTTTCTCATCCGTTCAAATTCCCAAACACTTCCTTCCTGTAGTAACATTTCCATCTTTCTCTTCTTTCTTTTGTTTTCTACAAGAAAATCAGAGATTTGAGCTGGTTTTTGCTCGCCCCATGCTTAGACTCTTTAATTTTTGAGCTTCACAATCGTCGATTCGGATGTATAATGTTGTCGAGGCCATTCTAGGGTTCCTTATTTAGATTCTCAAAGCTCAAACATGCCAACGGAGAGTTTTTCACTTTCCAGCAACGAAAATGAGGCCGAGTACTCCTTTGCAGTGGAATACACTGGCCCTCCGGTGCCCTATGATTTGCCTCGTGCCGTTCCCATCAACATCGAGAAAATTCCGGTCGCTGCGGTGGTCTCTAAGGTATCTCTCTCCGAAACTGAGTTGCATATACCGATTGTGCGGCCGATTTTAGCACCAGATCGTAAAATGTTCTCTAAAGAGCTCCATCCCACTGTTTCTCCGACCTCAGTGATCGATACCCACGATTGCGTGTCGAAAGAGCTGGAATTGGGGTCTGAAACAACAGTTTCGCCCACTTCTGTTATTGCGTTCGAGGAGACAGTTGAGGGGGATAATAATAATTGCGTGTTATCTGGTGAGTTAAGTAGCACTGGTGCAGACGATTATGGAAATTACGAGTCTGGTGAATTATCTGATGTTATTCATGGCTTTCCGAAGCGGAGAGGGTCTTGCTCTGTAAGCAACGAGCATAACACGAATGGTTATTCTGATAGTTTTGATAAATCAAGGGAATGTTCGTCAGGGCTAAGGGTGTCCAATTGTGGGGAAGAGAGCTTGGATTTTAATGATGACCTGAATCAGCCTGACTGGGCGTCAAATGAGTCTGTTTTGAGTTTGGATTACCCTTCTTCCAGGGTTTCTTCTCTTAAGACTGGGGAGTGTAATAATGAGTGTAATGGGGAAGTTAGGCGGGCCCAGGTTGTTACTTTTTGTGATATTGGGTCAGATGATGGTGTTAATGAGGAAATTAGCCAGGATGAGCAGCCTCAGATTATTAGAGCTAAGAGAGAGCCACAAACGAAAGGGAAGAAGGGGTCATGTTATAGATGCTTGAAGGGGAACAGATTCACAGATAAGGAGGTTTGTCTTGTCTGTGATGCCAAGTATTGTAGTAACTGCGTGCTTCGAGCTATGGGGTCTATGCCAGAAGGAAGGAAGTGTGTTACTTGTATTGGGTTTCCAATTGATGAATCAAAGAGAGGGGGTTTGGGGAAATGTTCTCGAATGCTTAAGCGATTGCTTAATGATTTAGAGGTCAGACAGATTATGAAGGCTGAGAAGTTATGTGAAGCGAATCAGCTTCCTCCAGAGTATGTTTGCGTGAATGGCAAGCCTCTTTGTCATGACGAATTGGTAATATTGCAGACTTGCTCTAACCCACCAAAGTTCCTAAAGCCTGGAAACTATTGGTATGATAAAGTATCTGGTCTTTGGGGAAAGGTGAACATGAGATTTTGAATGATTTCAATATTTTATTACTTTGCTAACATTCATTCCATTGTTATGGAATTTGACAGTTGTGCTACATTTGACAGGAAGGACAAAAGCCATCTAAGATAATTAGTCCCCATCTGAATGTTGGTGGTCACGTACAGCCAGATGCTAGCAATGGAAATACACAGGTTTTCATAAATGGTCGAGAAATTACAAAAGTAGAGCTTCGGATGTTGCAGGTTGAGATTTCTAAACATATATATTTCTTGAAGATGATTGATGGGTGGGAATTACTAAATCACTTTTTTAACCATTGCAGTTAGCAGGGGTTCAATGTGCTGGCAACCCACATTTTTGGGTGAATGATGATGGATCGTACCAAGAAGAAGGGCAAAAGAATACTAAGGGATACATTTGGGGAAAGGTACATTTCATGTGTGAATGCTCATTCTGTCTATTTGTCTCCTTTCCTTTGTTAAATAACACTTATTTACTGTTTAAATTACATTTAGGCTGGAACGAAGCTTCTCTGTGCTGTTTTGTCACTGCCTGTTCCTTCTAAAGCACCAAATCCAGATTTTGATCAAGTAAATAGTTTGCCTAGCAGAAATGTCCCTGACTACCTAGAGCAGCGGGCAATTCAAAAAATTCTTTTGGTTGGATCTAGTGGATCTGGGACAAGTACCATATTCAAGCAGGTAGCTTTTAATTGGAGCCATATCTTTAAATTTATATTTTGCTTGAAAGATTGTCTTTCAATGCTAAAAATTATTGACTGTTTTGTTAGGGATCTCTTGCCCACTTCTACCATCTCTTGCAATTACACATGTTTTGTAATTGGTGTCCTAAGTTAACCTACTTTTGAATTATTATGTAATCAGTTCTTTTCTTTTTTTTGGTGGTGGTGGGGGGGATCGGCATGTAGTCTATTTTTGCCAGTATTACATAATTGGTTGTTATGGCACAGGTTTTCCGAGATAAAGTGAGATGTATCCCAGATTTTAGATTACCTAGAATGACTGTCACTATATCGATGAGGCTCAAGTCTAAAACAAAGAAATGAACAGATGTAATTATTCTCTGAATTGTACTTGCTGTGAATCATTCATTTACTTGGACCTTTTACGAACCTTCAGTATTGGTGCTTGGTGCTCCTGTTCCTATTTCACTGTTTTGCCTGAGTTGCTTATCTATACACTGTTCCATTTATCTTCAAGTCTATGAAAGACTATTGCTAGCAAAATCTGTTTCAAGTCAAGTATGATCTATCTACATAAGGATATTCAATATTACCTGTTTTAGTGGTTTATTGATGTAAATATATAGTCAATTTATAAAATGAGATGGCGTTGTTTCAGGCAAAGATTCTTTACAAAGATGTACCATTCTCAGATGATGAACGTGAAAACATCAAATTGACCATCCAGACTAATGTATATGGCTATCTTGGTATACTTCTTGAGGGCCGTGAGCGTTTTGAAGAAGAGAGTTTGGGTGAAATGAAGCAAAGGAAATCTTCTGATGAAACTGATCCTACTGGTGAGTTTATATGCTAAGTCTATCCATGCCCATTTTCTTTTCTCTTTAACTTTCATTTTTATATTTAATCTACCAATGCATACCCTAAAAGATGCACGCATGCCACCCCCGTCTCCCCCTACATTACACACACACACACACACTCTTTTTCCCTCACCTATTCAACTTGCTCATAGATGTTTTCTATATATAGAAAATAATTAACAACTTAAATTTATTTTATTATTTTTACTTCTAGTGACTCAAAGTGGAAGAGAAATTATTGTTATCTTCCTAGTCTTACGGCTCATACCTGACATGACCATATAGATAGTGTTGAATAACAGTTAAAATGGAAATATCTGAAGAGGATTTCTTTTTATTGGCAGGAAGTACTGATAATGATGTCAAAACTGTGTATTCCATTGGCCCAAGGCTTAAAGCATTCTCTGACTGGCTTCTGAAGACCATGGTGTCAGGCAATTTGGAAGCTATTTTTCCAGCTGCTACACGGGAATATGCACCATGCGTTGAAGAGCTATGGAATGATGCAGCCATTCAGTCTACCTACAAGAGAAGGAGTGAATTGGAAATGCTACCAAGTGTTGCTAATTATTTCCTTGAGCAGGTAAGATAGTGATCAATTGTCTTATTCTCATTCTGAGAAGTAGAAACTTTTCTTACTTTTTTTAGCGTTAGAAGTTTTTCACACTTGAATATGTACTTGTTTCTAGTTGCTAGAAAAAGTTGACTGGTAGACTCAAAAATTATCCTGATGCAGAACCAATTGAATTTTCTTATCTATGAAAAATGACCACAGAGAGGGTAAGCATCATCTTGCTTGAGGTGATATTAGTGCATGGCATTTTGAGATGGACAGTGGTCTACAGGTCTTTGGACAAGAACATTGGAGAAAGAAAGGAATTGATTGTTAAAGACCTTTGAATTCATGATCAGAACTATATTTCCTGTTGTGAAGTTAAGGAAATACCTATTATCCAGGCTCTTGATGCAACATAATAAGTTTATTTTTTGTTGTCATATTCTTTTTGGATGTACTGGAATGTAATTATTGTATTTTTTCCTGACATTATTTGTATTCTCCAGGCTGTTCATATATTGAGAACAGATTATGAACCCTCAGATTTGGATATCCTACATGCTGAGGGTGTTACTTCATCAAATGGGCTCGCTTGTCTGGACTTCTCGTTTCCCCAATCTACAGCAGACGAAAACATTGACACAGCTGATCAGCATGACTCTTTGCTCCGGTAGGTGCCAATATATTGTGTGTGCATGCATACATCTATTTCGTGTTTGTGGAAAAAAGTTCCTGCATTTCCTAAGTTTTAGCCATTCTTTTTGATTGCTAGTTAGCTGTTGTTTATACTTGACTGCTAAACCAACATCAGTCATGGTGGCCTGGAGAGAATATTGAATTCACTTTGTATTTTGTAGTAGAAAGGGAATATCAAACCATGTACTGTTCTTTGTTTGGCTCTCAGGTACCAATTAATTAGAGTACAAGCAAGAGGCTTAGGAGAAAACTGCAAGTGGCTAGAGATGTTTGAAGATGTTGGATTGGTCATTTTCTGTGTTAACTTGAGTGACTATGACCAGTTCTCTGTAGATGGAACTAATAAGATGCTGCAGAACAGGAGATTCTTTGAAAGCATTGTTACTCATCCAACCTTTGAACAGATGGACTTCCTTTTGGTACTAAACAAATTTGATCTGTTTGAGGAAAAGATAGAGAAGGTACCATTGAGTCAGTGTGATTGGTTTGATGATTTTCATCCAGTGATCAGCAATAATCGCCCCAATTCAAACACAAACAGCAACAGTATCAACAATAATCCCTCTCTGGGCCAGCTGGGTTTTCACTATATTGCTGTTAAGTTCAAGAAGTTATTTTCTTCTCTCACTGGGCGGAAGTTATATGTTTCTCTTGTGAACGGATTAGAGCCCGAAAGTGTTGATTCAGCTCTTAAATTCGCCAGGGAGATTCTGAAATGGGATGAAGAGCGAGGCATATTCAGCCTAACTGAATGCTCAATGTATAGCACTGAGGCAAGCTCCTTCTCCCATTGATGCTTTCATGCTTGATCAGAGAAAGATGCGGTAGCTTTATCATCGCAAGTGTGTATATATTATTGGCCCTTAACAGACTCGACAAGCATTTTAGGTATTCCTTCAACTCATGCCAAAGCATATAATGGGGGAAATTAGCATACAAGTTACACTGAAATCTGAAATCTCCGCGTGCTCAATGTACAATGCTTTGTGTAGCTTTGCTGTCCTCTTGGACAGAGTTGTTACATTCATTTGTAAGATATGATTGAGATGTATGATCCAGTAACTGGCTAGAATGCGGTCCATTGTAAGGCTTCTTTAATATAATGCAGTTTTGAAATTTGACCTGTCAGTAATCTTAGACGTATATGCAGCGTCTAGACTGCCCAATCTGATAGAGGGTGGGTTGGTAAGCAATGAGAGGTTGTCTTATCTTTCCTGTAACTTAAAAGAACAAAATAATAATAATAATAAGCAAATAAATAAATAAAGTCTTCCCCTTCTGTCCATTTTCATTTTGGGAGAGAATGGGGTTGTTAATGTTAAACAATCTGGAAACATGGTCAAACAAATAAATTCATTAATTCAGATTTATTTTTGAAAAAATATTTTCCAATTTAAACTATAAAACACAAATTTCTATGTGAAAAAAAAAAAAAAAAAAAAACCCCTTTGATATTGAAAGTTTTTTCCCTTTAAACATCCTTATTTTACAGTATGAAATAATTCAACCATAAAACACTAGATCCATTTATTTTAACAAAAATCATGTTTGACAACTTTTTTTCACTTCTTTTTTTTCTTTGGTTCTCTATTTACATCTAATGTGTACAACAGTACAAGTGAGGAACAATGAGGTGTGAATTTCCTGTAATTGCAAATTTGACATGTTAGCTGTTGGTAGCTGAACTCATAACCTGAAGACAGGTAAAAGAATCTGACAGAAGAAAAACCCCAAAAACTCTCCTATGGGCAGAAGGAGAGCAGCCTTGACCATGGAAGAGATGTGTGACATGTCAGTCGTCTACATGACTGTATCGGATCTGCTCCTCCGCATTGAGCAATATGTTTCTAACTGCCCAACCTAGTGCAGACATTTGTTCATTCAAAGGATAAAACTCCTGTTGCGCCCATTGCCGGCTATCCTCAATCAGCTTAAACCACTCATTGAAAATCAGTTCTGAGTGATCACTTGTCTTGAACAGGCTCTCCCACCTACTGCTTGAAAGGAGGGCCTTGCGGACATAGCAAGCCTGTAACACAGCAAAGGTTAAAAGATTAAATGTGAGGTTATCAACAATTTTGTACAAGGAGATGCAACCAAGGCCCTCGCTTGATTGGAACATGATATGTTGACTGTGATCAAACAGTCTTAACAGATTGTTATACTAAAATGTCCAAGAAAAAGGAAACTGCCTTAACCTGCAACAATCCCATTATAACATCTGCTGTCTGAGCGCCTTCACGTAGAAAAAGTAGGATCCCTTGCTGGAGTTTCAAAACCAGGCAAAACAATTGAAAGATGAGTGAGACCTTTGTAATTCAACGACTCCATGTTTTACATACCAGCTAAGGGAAAATTTGTGCATGCCACCTGTCCAGTAGTTGTGAATCCTTTGTGGATCATCTCCACGCATACAAGGTACTGGTCCTTATCGCCAACAGACTGCAATGTCATCTCTAGTAACTTGAATGTTTGACCCTTGGGATTCACACACCCTATTCTGATGGGCCACAGTTTTTTGCCTGATCAAATTACAACAAATTGGCTTTAATCTTAATTTATAATGTGCAGTGCACGCTACAGAAGCTCATATGAAGAAATAAAAGGCAGCCAACAATAATGGGTAAGACTCACCTTTGCTCCACATAAAACTGATTTCTTCCTCTTTACTCACCTCCTGAGGTGAAGGTACATACCCCATCTCCATCCATCTATTAAGTATGATTTCAACTCTATCCTGAATATTGGAAGAAAAATTAAGGAAAAATAGAAAGAGAGCAAAAAAAGGAAGAAGACATAGACCTGCGAGATGCAGTCCATCAGACTTTATGAGGATAATTTCCTCCAAGAGTAAAAGCAGTGCAAATCATCACTATCAGAACATATTTGTTTAGAGAGGGCCAGGATTCTTCTTCAGTACTAATTAATGAAATAGATTGGGACAGGAGTCTATGGAGGGAATTACCGTAGCCAAAGGGATTCTTAGTTATGATTACATTACATCTTGAATTCTAAAAGAAATATATGTGCAAGTGTGCAAACATCCAATGAGAAACAAGACAGCACCTTGGTTAATGTTTGCAGATGAACATGCTTGAGGCCCTGGTATGCTCCAAAAAGATCAATTGCTGAGAAAAGGGGGTATATGATGAAAGGCAGGATTGCTTGAAATCTAGCATATCAAGGGCAAGCCAATAAATCATCAAGCATTTAGTTTCACACTTAAATACATGAACATATCAAGCATATTTCCATCTTTACAAAAAGTTGTACTTTCCAGTTAGTTTCACATATGTTATCAAAAAAATAAGTCACCCAAATCTAATTCTAGCATGCAAAGGTTAATTGTATAGTTTGAAGTAAAAAATACTTGTGGAAATTATGCAAGTTCATTTAAGTACATAATCTTACTCTTTAAGCAGTAAAATGGAAAAAAAAAAAAAAAACAAAATAAAAAATGGAAGCAATATTTTCAGACAAGAATCAACCATTTTTCATTTTGTTAAAACTTAAAAAGAATCAACCATCTTCATGGTATCATAATAAAATTACACCAGGAGAAGTATAAAAATAGCAAACTGAAAAGTGAAAAACAGCTATAGAAATCTACTTCACAATAACTGTCCAATAATTGTAGCTACATCAATTTACACCTAATAGATTTGAATTTCATTCAATTCAGAACATATCATAAATTCAATTAGGCGAACGAGCTGAGCTTCAAAATAATTCCTGGTCAAGTCAATAAGATCATGAAAAGTATTTAAATTTCTTTATCCCATATTATGGATTTGCGTGGACCAAGACACGATTTTCTCAAAGTTTTTCTGGGATTGGGTCTTATATTAGGGGGCCTGGGAGTCGTATTACTTACCAACCCAATTTTTTCTGCCTTTTCAATGGGATTGGTTCTTAGTTGTATATCCTTAATTCTAACTTCTCTCCAATTCTCATTTTGTAGCCACCACCCAGCTACTAATATACGTGGGAACCATAAATGATCCTATTTGCTGTGATGTTTATGAATGAATTAAGTTACAATTTACAAAGAAACATGACAGAGAGGAAACCTCTGATTGCTCTGGAGCAACATATTCAAAGCTACAGCAAGCGCAAGACCAAGGGTATCAAAGCACACTGATTGAATCTGACAAAAATGTGAAGATCAGGATGTTTTCGAGGCAAAACAATGGAATTCAATACATAACATGGTAGGAAAACTTATTACCTGGGCCTTTGCAGAAACTTCACCTAGGTTATCTGCTATAGCAAAGCTTCGATGAATAGGGGACTGCATATACAAGGCGAAAAATACAATATTAGAACTCTAAAGGGAGAGGTGGTAAACTCAACATAATAATTATCAGTAAGAAGAAACATCATAGCAGTACCTAAAAATTTTGCACAATCAGAAAGAAATATAAACAGAAAGATAGAAGAAGAAAAGCTTAACATGAAGCTTCAAATAGAAGAGGAAGTTAGTAGAACTGCATCCTTACATTGGTTGCCCAGTAGCATGCCAGGCTTATTTGTTTTGCAACATTGGCTAATGATGCTAGAAGCAAGAAGTACTGAGGAAACGTGGGTGTGAGCAGCTCAACTCCAATGCACAAACTGAATAGAACAGAGGTTGAGAACCTAACTCTCTTCAAATGACATAAGAAAATTGATGAGGAACAAGAAGAAGCTATTCAATGGTTATTTAGATTATTTAGCATTCTATGTAATTATTATTATTCAAGTGTTATTTTAGATTATTATTAGTTTTCTAGTTTTATTAGGATTAGATCTTTTAATTAAGAGTCTTATTATGTATATTCGTATTTTTACTAAGTATAAGTACAAGTCTAATTAGAATAGGAATTCTCTTTCTTGTTAATTTAGGAATCGTAAGATTATAAATATGCTTGTGACTTCTTTCATTATTGAGTCAAGTAATAAAATATTCAAAAATTTACAACAAGAGCTGTCTCTTGAGAATGTGTGATGCAATTGTGGTTTTGTGATGCAACTAACCTTAGGTGTGATGCTTAAGGATTTTTTATCCTCTTTAGGTCTGATGCCTAAAGAAACCTAGGTGTGACTCCTGGGATTTTCTATCTTTCTTGTTATTTTTTCTATTTCTTCCTCTTTTCTATCCTAAACCGACCCTATTTCACTGTTCACGAGTATTGTCCAAACCCTACTTTATAGTGAACAGCCTCTAAATTCCCAAGCCCACCATACCCCCTAACCTGTCCCTCTTCAAAAATATTAATGATTTACCAAAGCTACAAACAAGTCATTCTAATGCACAAACTCTCCAATTTCTTATTTACAGTTCAACATCCACCACAAATACTACAATAAACTATATTTTGGACTTCTAATTATATTTGTAAATTAAGAAATGAATTTAGCTAAACAAATAGAAGCCTTGATCAGCTTCTAATATACAATCAAAATAAAGTTAGTATGCAAACCTTCAAATTGGTGTCAAAAGAAAATGCCATGCTTGATGTATAGATGAACCTGCTTAACCGTCCAAGCCCCTCCTTCAAAACCCAGTTAAGGGCAGCTGCTGAAGGAAGTGAATGAGAGTAACCAACTCCAATAGCCCGAATCATTGACTGTTAAAAATCCAATCACAAAGAACAAGAAAAACATTTTTCATCTTCAGTCCTCAAAAAATATATCATGGAATGTCCATGTCAATTAACCCAGACATAATTTCTTTATTTATTAAAACCTAATGTATGAAATACTACAGAATTCCACAGGCTCAAACTTTTACCTGAGTGGCAAGAACCTGAAGAGCAGAGCTAAAAATCCGGCACACTAACTTCCACTTCACATACCCAATGTAATTCTCACTCACTTGTTTGGGAATAAATAAGTTTCTAACAGCCAAGCTAAAAACCCTGACAAGCTCTTGAAACCCATCATTGAAATCCAAATTAAATGATGATGCACCACCCTCAACACTCTCTAAATGCAAGTGATTCCCATCCCAGAAATAGCTAGAGACCTTCCCAGACTTATGTATCACTAGTGGGAGTGATGATGGCTTTGCGGCACCAAGGTCCTCTTTGGGAGTTGGCTGTTTATAACTAAAACTATATCGGACCTGTTCTGCTGCATTCAGCAAGATGTTTCTAGTTGTCCAACCGAGTGCTGACATTTGCTCATTCATAAGGAAAAACTCCTGCTGTGCCCATTGCCTGCTATCTTCAATAAGGTTAAACCACTCTTTGAAAATACAATTTGAGGAATCACTTGTCTTTAACATGCTCTCCCACCTACTGCTTGAAAGGAGGGCCTTGCGGACATAGCAAGCCTACAACATAGCCAAGAATTAAGCTCATTTAAGCTTTTATAAACAACTTGCACAAGAGATGCAGGCAAGGCTCTCAGATCCAGCAAAAACTAGCAACTTATGTTGAAACAAGATGTTTTCTCTGTGTAACAGAGTGTTATACTAAAATGCCTTAATAATAGTTTTTGTAAGGAAATTGTTTTAATTAACCTGCAACAATCCCATGATAACATCTTCTGTCTGAGCCTCTTCATGTAGAAAAAGAAGGATCCCTTGCTGGAGTTCCAAAAACGGGAAAAACAAATGAAAGATGTGAACATTATTTTTCCATGCAATAACTCCATCCTTTACACAACAGCTAACGAAAAGTTTTAATAATGTATGTCCACCTTTCTGGTTCTTTTGAATCCTTTGTATATCATCTCTATGCATATGAAGTAATGGTCCTTTTCACTAACAGATTGCATTGCCATCAACAATGATTTGGATATTTGACCCTTGGGATTCAAAGACCCTATTCTGATGGGCCACATTTCTTTGCCTGATAATAAAAGGCCTTAATTGGCTTTAATATTCATTTATAGCCTTAATGTGCACTTTATCCTGCAGAACTTCACATAAAGTACCAAAACACAGCAGAAAGATGTATTGAGCTCACCTTTGCTCCACATAAAATTGATTTCTTCCTCTTTACTCACTTCTTCAGGTGAAGGTACATATCCCATCTCAATCCATCTATTAAGTATGATTTCAACTCTATCCTGAATATTAGCAAAAATTTTAGAAAAAGAAAAGGGGCAAAACAAGAAAAAGATGAAGAAATGGAACCATGAGATGCCAATAATCAAACAATGAGGAAAATTTCCTCAAATTCCAGACAAATAAGAGCAGGAGAAATTATCATCTATCAAAAGAAATCTGCTTCGACTAGAGAGGGTCATGATCCTTATTGAGCATGCATAGGTTGGGACAAGTTTCTATAGAGTGAACTTAACAGATCCACAAGGGCTTCCCAGTTATTATTAATTTGTTGAAGAAGCTAAATAAAGAACGGTTTTATAAGAAAAAGGAAAGAAAAGGAGAAAGCAAAAAGGAATTCAATTCTGAAGTAACATCCCATCAGATGCCCACTGAAGCATATTTTTTGAGAAAATCTGCCATAAGCTTTAACATATCAAGTAGTAGTCCACCACAATACAGAAAATGAACATTGGGTTAGGCACGCATTCTCATAGACATAACACAAGATAAGAGATGATATTTTGTTTCTTCAAAAAGAAATGGTACTTTCCAAAGATGAATTAGATGTTTCTGCGCTTTTATATGTGAACAACCAACCAGAATCAAAGTATCACCTTAGTTAATGTTTGCAGATGAACATTCTTCAGCCCCTGATATATTCCAAAAAGATCAACTGCTGAGAAAAGGGGGTAGATGACGAAGGGCAGCACTGCTTGCAATCTAAGCACAGTGAGGGCAAGTCAAGAAATCATCTAGCATTTAGTTTCACAATCAAATACATTTACATATTGAGCATATTTCTATCTTTCCAAAAATGTCAGAATATGTACTGTATAATTAATTTCATCCAAATTAATTATTCTAGTATGCAAAGGTTAATTATATAGTTTGCAATCAAGAAAATGTATGAAATTATGCAAGTTCCTCTAACGACATATCTTTAGGAAGCAAATGAAAGTTTTATGCTAGTGATCAGTTTGTGTATGTGTGCGCGCGCGTGTGTGTGTGTGTATTAGCAACATTTTCAGGAACAAACATTGGATGGAGATAAAGGATCTGAACATCAGGCTAATGGAAAGACAGACTTAGTCATTAAGCAGCAACTTGGCCAAGTATCTGCCTTTTTATTTCTTTTAACAAGTATTGCCCAAATTAATGGTATCCCTATAATAATAAAATTTACAATTGAGGAAGCATAGAATAGCAAACTTCAAAAATGGTTATATAAATCCACTTCATAGCATGTGAATTACAATAGAAACATGAAATGGAGGTAACCTTCGATTGCTCTGGAGCAACATATTCAAAGCTACAGCAAGCATGAGACCAAGGTTATCAAAGCATAATGATTGAACCTGAAAAACATTACAAGATCAGGACAGTTTTATGCACAAATGTATCAAAAGTCAATAAGTAATATGCTAGAAAAATTAGTACCTGGGCCTTTGCAGAAACTTCACCAAGGTTATCTGCTGCTGCAAAGCTTCTATGAATAGCAGACTGCTTATAAAAGGGGACAACATTATAACACTAAAGGGAGAGATTGTAAACTAAGCAATAATTATTAGCAGGAAGAATCATCACAGTATCAATTAGGAAGAAAAAAAATGAAATGATAGAGTTAAAAAAAAAAAAAAGAAAAAAAAAGTGTAACATGAATCTTCAAAGAGAAAAAAAGTTCAAGATACTACAAGTTTTACAGGAGCTGAATCCTTACACTGGTTCCCAAGTAGCATGACAGGCTTATGTGTTTTGCAATGTTGGCTATTGATGCAAGGAGCAAGAAGTATTGGGGAAACACGGGTGTGAGCAGCTCAACTCCAATGCTCAAACTGAACAAAATAGAGGTTGAGAACCTAACTCTCTACAAATGAAATGACAGAAGCAAATGTTAATCATTTATTGAAACTCTAAACTAGCCACTCAATGCATAAAATCTTCATTTTCATATCTACAATTCTACAGTCACCACCACAAAGTCACAAAAAACTATATCTTGGATTTGTAATTGTTTTTTTCCCAGACAACAAAACATAGTGATGACTGTAAACTGCAAATTGAGAAATGAATTTAAGTAAACAAGTAAAGCTTTGAACATGATATGGTATATGATCTAACTCTCAGAAGTTTGCAAGCATACCTTCAAATTGGTGTCGAAAGCAGATGCTGCACTAGCAGTGTAGATGCCCCTGCTTAGCCGTCCAAGTCCTTCCTTCAAGGCCCACTTAAGGGCAGCTGCACCAGCAAGTGAACGAGTGTAACCAATTCCAATAGCCCGGAATACTGCCTGTTAAAACCAAATCCCAAAGAAACAGGAATAAATATTTTCCCATTCAATCCATATTTCAAATTCAACCCATATAAGATATATTATGGCATATCTACTTCATTTAGCAGGAACATAATTTCTTTATCCATATAAGATCACGAAACTCCATAAAGGCTCAAACTTTTACCTGAGTGGCAAGAACCTGAAGAGCAGAACTAAAAACCCGGTGCAAGAATTTCCACTTTACGTACCCGACATAATTCTCCCTCACTTGTTTGGGGATAAAGAAATTCCTAAAAACCAAACTAGAAACCCTGAAAAGCTCTTGAAACCCATCACTGAAATCCAAATTAAGCGACGATGTACCACCATCAACACTCACTAACTGCACACAATTCCCATCCCAGAAGTACCTAGAAACCTTCCCTGACTTCCGTATCACCACAGGGAGCCATGCCGGCTTTATGGACTCTATCCTATCATCGAAGTCCTTTTCGGGCTTGTAGTCAATTCGGGTTCGCAGTGAATTGGATAAAATTAGGGTTTTGAAGCCTAATTTTTGGGTTTTTGAAAAGGAACCCTTTTGGGTTCTCCATGAAAGTGAAAACTGGAGAGAACTGGAGCATGTGCAGTAGAAAGTGGATTGCATGAGAAATAGGGGTTAGGAAATTTTAAGCCTTTTGGAATTAGCCGCTTGTTTCCCGCCAAATAATGGTCGGGGGCTGGCAATGGAGGGGTTTAGGGTTTTAACGGGACTATTGCAGAAAACAGAACAGATACGGTTATGGTGGTGGAGGGTGCGTCCTGCGCACCATGCGCGGGAAAGTGTTAAAGCATAATTTGTGCCGTGGAGAGAAAAACCTACCGCATAACCCTGATTAAATTTGTGGCTTTTAGCTTCTCTTACACAGTAAAACCTCTTACCTCTTTGTATTAAAGCTTCTGACCTCTTAACTATTTAATTTAAAGTAAATAACTCAAAATTAACATCAATTTAATATGTGAATCGCATAATAATTTTAAGTCAATCTCATTAATTTTAAATTATTTAATTTAAATTAAATACATAAAGAACTAAAAGTTTTAATATATAAAAATTAAAAGCTAAAAGCGGCAAATATATTAAAAGGGTGAGACTAAATGGAAGCTTTTGCCCTCATAGAGCAACCTGGCCCAGAAGCTAGAAGCTTCCGTTGGTTTTATTAAATAACGAAGTGAACTCAAGTGCACATGACAATGCTCAAGTGTACACAGTAAATTGAATAAAAGCTGCAAAGATTCATAGAAGCAGAGTGCTGAAAGGGACTACAAGGTACTTTTGCTGATAATCTGCTAATTCAATTTCCATAAAGCTTGGAACTAAGACGAGGGGTTATAACAACTTCAAGTGGGGTTGCTTTCAGATTTGTCAAACCAGTGCTTTCAGTCATGTCCACTTCTTCCATGTTTGATGGCTTAGCAACTTCAAAGCAGTGTAAGAAGCTAGCTAATGCAAAATGCACTACCTGAAGGGCTAGTGAGATTCCAGGGCATAATCTTCTTCCCGAGCCAAAAGGAATTAGTTCAAAATTCTGGCCTCGGATGTCTGTATCTTTATGGCTTGTCAAGAATCTCTCAGGCTGAAATTCATCAGGATTGGGCCATACAAGTTTGTCATGGTGAATATTCCAAACATTAATCATTACTTGTGTGCCTGCTGGAATGTGATGCCCAGATGAAAGGGTGCAATCTTCCGTTGCTGCCCGGTGAATTACGGGAACAGGTGGGTATAAGCGCATTGTTTCCTTGACAATGGCTTGGAGAAAGACTAGGTTCTTGATATCAGATTCTTCCACATGTCTGTCTCTGCCAACATGGATGTCTAGCTCCTCCTGAGCCTTCTTTAAGACGTGAGAATTGTTAAGTAGCAAAGACAGTGCCCATGTGAGAGTGACCATGGTCGTATCGCTTCCCGCCAAGATCAAGTTCTGTCCAAACCAAAGCTCATCAGAATATATCAAGGATCAAGCGGACTTAACATAAAGATTAGAACTTCCGGCCCTTACAACTACACCAAGAGTCAAGAGTCACTACATGCAAACTTCCTTCTACTTGATGTTCAATTACAATAATTAGTACGATTCACCTTTCCCAGCCATGTGCTTGGTACAATTCCCCCACCCCCATGTCATCTAGTTGCTGACAACAATACCAAATTAAATCTGACCTTTTTCAATTTCCATATCTGATCAATTGCTAGATTTGTTTTGATATCTAATTATCTATCAATATGAAACAGCTTATGAATTTCAGAATATAACAGACACAGTCACACAGCAGTTCAAGGACTTCTGTGTGCAGCAGTTAAAGCGTTTGAATTCTTACCAAGCAAGTGGCCTTGTTAATGGTGTCAGCACTGAAGCCAGAAACCTGGGCATCTTTCAGGATGTTCAACATCACATCCATGAAATCCTGCCCCTTCTTCACCTCTTCATCCTGAAGTCTTCTCTGTTTATGCTCCTCTAGCCACCCTTCTATGAGAATGTCCAACTCTTTTGCAGTCTTCTTCATGGCTTTTTCATATCCTTGAAAATCCAACCACCTAAGAAATGGCATAGCATCAGATAACACAAACACCCCAAACAGATGAAAAAATTCCCTCATCACTTCCTGGCATCTCCTTGCTTCTCTTTCCCCACAATCAGCATTTGGTCCAAAGTATCTTCTCCCTCCCACCATTCTCAAAGCAATATTATGAGTCAAATCTCCAAACTGCTGCTTCATATCCACTAATACCCCACTTTCTGCACTACCATTGCTAAGCCATGCCTTGTACAGTACTCTGGTTGCGATCTCTATTTCTGAAGTCCTTATGTATTTGAGAAGATCAATCCGGTGGTTTGACAGAAGCTCAATCACAGCAATCTTGCGAATCTCTCTCCAGTAGGGCCCATAAGGAGCAAAGCCAAACATGGCAAAGTCATAACCTAGAAGCTTTATAACAGTAAGGCTTGGTCTACCAGAAAAAGCCTTATCATGGATTGTAAAACACTCTTTGACTACTTCCCAACTGTTTAAAACCAAGGAAGTTCTTGATCCCAGCCTGATGGTGAAAATTGGGCCATATTTCTCAGCCATGGCAGCTAGCGTTTTGTGTGTCAGTAGGTGGCCGCCAAAGAGGTGCATGTGGCCAATTATAGGCAAGGCACCACCAGCTTGAAGGGCGCTGCAACTTCCTTTCCTACAAGTGCCTGGTCTCTTTGTATAAAGGTAAATGCAACTGAACAGTGCAACAAAGCTACTGAGAACAATAAACAGGAAATGAAGAATCTCCATGAGAGCTTGCAGGAGGCAACAGAACAAATGTTGTGTGTCCAAGAGGCTTGGAAATCTCTCTGGTTTTCAATTTCTTTCTCGTAATTATCTTCTCAGGGCGGTTACTTCCTGGGAAGCTAAGAGTATATTAGGTACTGTACCTCTACATTTTACAACTTGGGACCTCTAAGAACCTCTCAGTCTATCCAATAACC